TCCTTATCAGATCTCGCGCGGAATACGAGACGTTTGTTGATTTGCAATGCCGTTTTGCTCTTGTTGTGACAATCATCAGCAAAGCGGCTCGTGAGTTTAGACTCGGGCTTCGTCAACCCTGTTGCAGATTGGAAGGAGAAGAGGCATGATGGAACTGGCGAGCCCCGCCTTCCTAAATGGGGATCCAGAGCCTAATGATCAGTCCAAATGATAAAGGTTAAAACTTGAGTGGTCGGAATACCAGGCAATCCAAATCTGGATTCGAATAGTGTTGGAGCGGCCTAAAGCGATTTACGTTGCGACGCCTGCCTACCTACCTACCTAGGTATCTCGTCACCCATTTCTAAGCCGACAGGTACATGTGCTCCCTCCCATTACCTCCCTCTCGCTCTGAATACCTACTTTCCGCGAGCAGAAAGTTGGCAGGGCCGAACCAAGGCGACGATACACACTCACTCACACACACACACACACACACACACACACATACACACCCACCCTGGGTAGAACCTTTTGACTTGCTTGCTATCAATCGGATCAGCCGGTTCATCTCAGGTTGTCGTTGGCTTTTTTTTTTTTGTGCTCCTGTCGCCATTGCGCCAAAGTGTCTTATCGATACCTAGCGCTTATGCCCTGAGTCGATCGAATAGGGCGGGAGAAGTCGGCGTGCTGTGCCCTCAATTGCGGCTCTGCCTCTGCCCTACAGGTAGGTACCTGTACGTACACATTACCACACAGTGACTTTTCCCCGCGCGTCCCGCCGGAGAAATCGGCTGCTTGCCTCATCATCAACGGCATTGCAACCACATGCCGGCAGCAAAGCACGCCGAAAGGGCCTTGTCTTCTGTCCCAGTTCTGCTACATACCTACAGCTGACCAACCCCGAAGGAGGGGACGGGGGGGGGGGACCAGGCCGGCCATGTGTTACTGCAGCTGAGACCGACCTCCGCTGACCGTCCCTCCACAATCGCCTTGGCGCTCGCAAATCCATTTGGGCGGGTTGGTTCACCGGTACAGCGGTACCTTTAACCTCCTGCCTACCATCACCAAGACCCCAGGTACCTACCTCTCCCTATTAGTGGAACGAACCGTCGGCTCACTTGCCGTGCGCATCTCTGAGTGGCTAGCCAGCCCGCCACTGCCGCTCCCAATCCCTTCTGCTCGCTTTTGTCTCGTCTCTCTCCCCTCCCTTCAACAACACACCATCATCAACCATCGACATTGTTGCCGACATCCACGCTTGCCAACCCCCATCTCCGCCTTTGCATCCATCTCTTCGCGAAACGCGAAACCGGGAGACCACGACAAAAAACCAAACCCGCACAATCGCACTTCGCACTTCCCAAGAGGCCTCGCTTTCTCACCACCGCGTCCCGCTCGGTGTCCCGACGATCGAATCTTGGGAGGGAGGCGTCCATCTGATATCTACGGCTCCGAGGAGATGTGACACGCAAATCCCCCTCTTCTTCCAACAACGCCCTACCAGCGATCGTGCGAGCCCGACCGCTCTGTCGACCTGACCTGTCCTGCCCTGCCCTGCCCTGCCTTGCCCTGCCCTGCATTGCAGTGAACTGCACTCTCTACCGCATCGCACCGCATGCCACTTCGCGCTTTGTCGCCTCGACCGTCAACCCACATAGTTCCCGCATTCGCCCTTCCGTCTCCTGTCGCTACTATTTCCTCCTACTTCGCATCCCCTCCTCTCTCGTCATTCCAACTTGTTAGATTTTCCCTCCGTTCTGCAACCAGCGACGTCGATCGTCGTGCGAACGCGAGGAGACGGATCTGACAGAGGACTCGACAAGATGGCGCCCATGCTACTCCGCGTCGTGGCATGCGCCGCTGTCTTCGTCATGGCCCAGGCCGTAACCATCGCCTCCGAGAAGGCAGTTCCAGTGTGGAGCCAAAAGTCCTCCATGGAAATGTCCCTCTGGACCAAGGGCGGAGTCCTGCCACTGACCTTCATCGTCATGCCGTCCACCGAGAGATTGGGTCTCAACCAAACCGACATTGTTCGCGGGGTATGGTTGCAGTCATCTCCATGACGGACTCGACTTGAAGTCTCCGTCTGGGCACATGTGCGCCTTTGCTAACACAATCGTAGGCCATTCGGATCGAGGGCAACATGGTTTCTGCCACCTCTTCCAACTTCGACAAGATCAATGGAGACGCCGTCGCATATCTGTCATGCGACCCCCCCAGCGGCGGCGGCTTTATCGACCAGAACTCGATTCTCAGCACCTTGATGGACATCAAACCGAAAGCCGTGGTGCTGTACAGCACTATCGGGAACTGGTGCGTCTTGTCAACCGACACGGATCTGCCTTACTACTCGATATTTACCATGGCGGACCGCGACGAATCCGCGCAGGCCCTCAACATCCTGAATGGCACCAACGAGGCGGATCAGATTGGCGTTGTCATCACTGGCAACGCGACTGCAAACGACGACGACAACAATGGGGGAGGCGGCAATAACTCGGCTGTCGCCATGAGCATCCTGTACAGCATCACGGGTCTCATCACGCTGCTCTTTTTGATCATCATCGCCACAGGTGCCGTGAGGGCGCACCGATACCCGGAGAGATATGGCCCGAGGAACGGTGTCAACGGCCGCCCTCGCCAGAGCCGTGCCAAGGGTTTGGCCCGTGCCGTCCTGGACACGCTTCCCATCGTCAAGTTCGGCGAGAGGCAAGATGCGAAGCCCGATCCCAACATTGAGCTGGAGAGTGCAACAAACGTCTCCATACATGACGGAAACGCTGAGGGCCGGAGCGAAGATAGGCAGCCGGATACTGCCCAGGTCAACGCCAAACACTCGGATGCGACGGGCAACACGGAGGCAGACGGCGCGACGCCCAAGGCAACTGGCGTTGGAAGTGCCGCCGCCGCCGCTGCTGCTGCTGCTGCTGCTGCTACTGCTGCTCCTACCGCCGCCGCCACTGTGGGCGCTACCAGCACGATCGGCTCTGCTAACCATGGATCCAACGGGCAGGAGGACGAGAATCTCGGCTGCTCCATCTGCACAGAAGACTTCACTGTTGGCGAAGACGTGCGTGTGTTGCCTTGCAACCACAAGTTCCACCCCAACTGTGTCGATCCTTGGCTGGTCAATGTATCGGGCACATGTCCCCTGTGGTGAGTTACCTGCATCCATCCATCCATTCTGCCTTGGCACGTACGGTGCTTTGGAGGTATTGTTTGGGCCGAGTTTGAACATCAAACTAACACACATCTCCCTAGTCGCCTCGACCTTCGTCCCCAGGGCGATGCCCAAAACAACAGCGATGAGCTTCCGCCGCCGCTCGAGTTGGATGGACACGAGAGTGATGGGTCGTCTAGTACGCAGAGGCGGAGGACACGACTGTTCGATATCAACAGACTAAGGAACGCTTCAGCGGAGGAGCGCATACAGGCTCTTCGGCAATATCGCACGCAACACCAAGTCCAAGGCGCATCGGCAGGTCCAGCCGAAGTCGAACGTGACGACAGGGACGACAGGAGTCGTAGAGCCAGGTTGGCTGACAAGCTGCGCGAAAAGTTCCGGATTCGAACTGGGCCACAGTCTTGAGCCGCCGGCAACATACATACAGTGTTACGTGATACCAAGGAGACGACAGTCGGCAGACGAAATCCTCCCATGCCGGGAGGGGTAATGAACGGAACGAAACAACGAGCAAAACGGCATATAACACATGTAGCAACGATTGAGGGCCCTTGGGCAGTACAGGCGCCGAGGGGGAGGCGTCGGGGTCCTCTTTTTTTTCTTTTTTTCTTTTTTTCTTTTACTTCTCAGCGGGTAAATTTTGGCGTTTAGGGCACAGAACCATACTGGGCCGGACACATGGGACAGCATTGCATGGCGTTAAACGGGGGAGGGAAGCATGGCGGATTCTTGTAGCTGGCTAACATTTGTCCTAATGGCCGTGGGCTGGTGCTGTACCTCTATACGTAGTCGAACACCGAGGCTTCGTTGGTTCACTGGTCTCGGGCAAAGTTCGTCACAAAGGGGACCTCGCCAACAAGTTCATGCCGGCTGGCAGGGAACAGAGAAAAGACAGACTGATGAGTTGATGCGACAGATGATGTAGCGGTATCGGCCAAAGAGGAACAATGGCGTCGGGGAAAGGAGAGCACAACCAAGACATAAGCATACACAGCCAGCAAGCAGTTGAATGTCAATCTGGATGACGTGACATGGCGATTGCCTGACGATTTGCGGCGTTCGGTAACCCTTTGAAGCGGGTAAGGATACCGCCTCGAATATCAAGTTATCGATCGCATTGCATCGCGAGGTCTCATACTCGCATAGGTAGGCCATCCCATCCCTGGCGGTGTACCGTGTTGTGTGGCTTTGCCGCAATGTCGTTGGGGTGATCTCGTACCGGCCTCCCCATCCGTCTGTCAGTCAGGCGAGGGGAGATTTAAGTGATTTGTCAGATCCAGTGCCGCCCTCGGCACCTCGGTCGAGGAGTTTGCGTGTCTGTTTACTCATCTACGCTCGTCCTTCGCCCGTTTCTCTTGCTTTGCTCCATTCGTCCTCGCTCGGATGACGTCAAATCCATCCACGCGCGCACATATTATACCTACACAAGTCTTGGCTTTCGCATGGCCCCGTCCCATCCATCCACTGCTTTGAGCACGCTAGATCGTACACGATGTTTGCGTCGGACTGACAACTCTAACCCCCCCGTCTGCTGCCTCTTGCACATGGCGCGGGGGGGGCATGGGCATGTAGGTTCGATCACGGCCCTCGCCCTAGGTCTTTGTTTCTTTGGGGGGGGGAGACAACCTCGTGATGTGCAGCAGTCGGTCAGTGGACACCAGCTCTGAGGAACGGGCTGAACTGCACGAAGGCGCACGGTGTCTCTCGCCATGTCCCGGCCGGCAGCCGCATTTCAACCTTCAGATCGAGCTGGACCGAGCCAATACTTTGCCTGCGGCGACAATGGCTTGCTCTATTGCTCTACTGGATACCTGCTGGAACCCAAGCGCGGGTAATGGCCTTGCGGAGGGCCCAGCACGGACACATGCTCGCAATGTTCAAGGCGACGGAAGATGGACTATGGACCATGGACCATGGCTCGTCGTTCCCTTTGGCCGCCGCACAGCTTCTCGCCTCGTTGCCATTGTCATTGGCCGCCATTGGCCCCCATCCAGATGCTACGAGAGTGCTCGGCCGCGAGAGCCCTTGGTGCCTCGAGCAGTCAAGGCAGTCAGCCGCGCCGCCGATGAGATCTCTCAACTCTTGGGACGTATTACACGGTCACCATCCACGACATGGTGTGCTCTCGCAACCGCAAGAAGAAGAAAATACCGAGCTGGCCGGCAGCCGTGAGCAGCCAAAGGAGAAAGTTCAAAGTGGTCGTGAGTAGACCCTGATGCGAGAAGCTACTAGTTTTTACAAACGTTACCGCCCTGCCATCGCCGGTGCATCGAACATCGGCTCCTACCCCCAAAGTCTGGAGGATGCAGCAGACTATGAGACTTGGGAGGTCAGTGAAGACACTTTTTCTTCCACCTTCACAGAGGTCCGAAATCTAAATCATTCAAAGCATTGCCGTCTTTAGTTGGCGATCTCGATGACTGCATTCCGCTGGCCGTACAATTCAAGATTCGGACGCTACATCATTCTGGTCAAGTGGCTGGATTAAGCTCGTGGATACCAGACGACTGGGACGAGATGTGGTGGAGGACGTGCTCAGTGGGCGATGCTGAACGTCGTCCGTCAGAGGCGACGCACGCAGGAAACGTCAAAACAAGGGCCCATGCCACAGATGCCGACGACTCTGGCGGAACCAGCTCCTCGGCTTTTTGCCGGGGTTTGCGTTGACGTGGAGGGAGAGCTGTAATGGTTGCAAGCCAAACCTCGATTGAGTTGACCACCTACGAGACTGGCGACGGGAGGGGTGGGGAAGCCGATCCCCCGTCCCCATACACTCATGGTAAATCATGGGAAACTCGGGCCCAAAGATTCGTGCCTGTTACGGAAGCTGGTTAGCTCGAACAAAGGCAGGGTCGGCACAGCTTCGACCATGGACCCCCAGCCACACATCCCAGAGCCGCATATCACCTCTTGTCTTGTTCGGGCCTGTCCGACCAGACGGAAGTGAAGCTTTATCCCCTCTCGGTTGGCCAACCTTCATCGCCGACGCAGAAGCATAGAGCGTAGAGCCTAGACTTTCCTCATCCCCTCACCACCATCATCACCGCCATCATCACCATCACCACCAGCGCCAAGTGAACGGCTCTTCCTATCACGGAATGCGAACCCTACAGTGGCAGGCGAAGAAAGAAGAGCCTGGGAGAGAAAGTCCAGCATAGCAAAAAGGGAGGGGAGCGGTGCGTCGTCGGCCCTAACTACCGACTCAGATCTCGTCCCGTCACCCTGACAAAAGCTTGGCACCGGTACAGCCTTCCCCAAGCTATGTGAGTGGGTGAGTGAGTGAGCGAGTGAGTGAGAGAGCGCATTTCTCTACCCTCCTCCTACTCCTTAACCACACGCTTGCCTTCAACTGACCTTGACTCTACCTACAAGCGGGCATCGCAGTGGTTCTATCCAACGCTTGACTTGTGGCTTTTTGCCACGCAAACCAGCCGTGTTCAGTCTCGGTTCGGCACGGTACTTCGCATCAGGACCGGAGGAAGTGCCTTTCATCTCCTCCCAAGCCGGCGTCAGTAAATGAGACGGGTGGATGAGTTTGTTTCCCACTTGCTACCAGAGTATAGCTTATCCCTCCATCCATGTCATGCGGCAGCACCTGGATGCTATTCTGTAGCTCGCCAGCCGACCCCTCTCTGCTCCCGTCTTTCAGTACGCACGCTTCGTCCACCTGCCGAACAAAACCTAAAGATGGTTACTTCCCTTCCCCCCCCACCCAGACGTTACGAGACGAAAGGAAGCTCGGACACCCGACCCGTTGATCTCTCTTTTCTTAGCTCTCCCGGATCGTGTCTTGGTATATAGCTCTTTTGCCCCCCCCCCCCCCTCTGGCACCCAATCCCACCGGGTCCTTTTCCACGCCAACGGCATCGTGTCTGCAAATCCACATCAACCAAACGGCATCTCAGTCCCGGAACATCATTGCACCGACTCCAGAAACGGTCCCCACGAGCAGAAATGGCGCTGCCTAAGACCGAGCCCTTGGGTGGCAGCATCATGAGCGTCATCATCTGTCTCGTATCCATCAGCATCATCTCCGGCTTCTTTGGTATGTGGCCACCACGGTCATGCGCTGGACCGTCGAAGGGCGAGTTCCGCGCGGGGGAGGGGGAAAAGAACGACGTGCTGATGATGAACGAAAAAAAACAGCCCAAAGGATTGTGGCTCTCAAGAACTGGAGGAGGATACCATTCGTGGTGTGGAGTAAGCGTGCGCCAAGTCGTCGTTGATTGTCCGCGGCCCTAACACTGAGACAGTCGTGTTCGCCATTTACACAGATTCCTATCTCTTCGTCTTCTTCACGGCCATTCTCCAGTTCGCCCTCGGCGTCAACACGAACATCCATATCTGCGACGGCGCCATCCTCCTGTGCCTGGTCTGCTACATCACGACAAAAGTATTGATTTACCTGTTCCTGGTTGAAAAAGCGGTGCGTATTGGGACCCCCAACGGCGACAGAAGAAATAGTTGCGCGGTCAAGCTAACAGCATCAAAGCACATCATCCGGGGAGGAATGAAGCCGCGGCTCAAGTCGAAGCTCTACATCTTAAACTCGTTTGTAATGCTAGGAATTTATGCCGTCATCGCCATAATGAACTTCATCTTGTAAGTCAACCCAAGTGTTTCGAGGCATGAACGGCAGTTGACCAGAGCAAAAGCCGCATCACGCGTATCGACCACGGACAATGCTACATTGGGATGCAGAAGGTGTCGATGATTCCCCTCATCTCATTTGACGCCGTTGTCAACATCTACCTCACCATCCTCTTCCTCATCCCTCTCCAGAGTAAGCTTCACCTGTGCCGCAGGGATACCACACACCCCTTGGCAAAGCTAACCTTTCGCAGGCCTGTACTCATTCAAGCACTGCCCCACGAACCCTCCAAACACTCGACTTAGGACCGTCGCATTCCGTACCTTCATCGGTACCCTGTGCACCCTCACCAGCAGCGTCGTGTGAGTTGGACGGACGGACCTTGCAAGTCCAAAGCTCAATGTTTCTGACTCGCTCTTAGGAACTTAACCGTACTCATGGTCCTCGACGGCGAGCCCGGTTGGGTTTGTCTTATGTGCTGCAACAGCGATGGTAGGTCGGCCGTCACAACCCCAATCCTTGCTCTCCAAAGCTAATCACCCTGTCCAGTTCTCTTTTCGGCAATCGTCATCCAATGGGTAACCAGCAAAGACAACGTTGCCACCGCACGCTTGTCGGGTAGCGGCTCCAACAGGGAGACGTTCGAAGAGCTCCGCCGTCCCGCGTACTCACCGCGCAATCCGCCAAGTCAGAAGCACGTCATGGGTGACATCCCCGAGATTTCTCTCCACAACTTCGTCTTCTCCAACAATGTCACCAGCAATAGCGATTCATCTGAAGCGGAATTGACGACGCAGGAGATATCCCCCATGAGCCCTGTATCCGGAACCGGCGCCGTGGCCACGACAGCGTTCCGGCGCGGGTCACAACCCATGCCGGCCATCTCCCAAGAGATCATGATTGAAGATGGTCACGAAGAGCCGAACAGGTCCAGCCCGGATGGGCAAGTATGAGACAGCATATCAAACGATATGCCAAGGTTTCAGAAATGAGGACCTCGAGTCCGCGATCGTCGAGTGGGCGGCGGCGACGGGACGCCATTTCGACTGCATTTCTCCTTACGCTTGTTTCTCTCCCTTTTTTTTATATAACCCATCGGGCGGTGTCATACTCTGGAGAAGGCCTTACTCTCTTTACGGCGCAAAGCGGACAAAATGGAGGCGAAAAAAAGGGTCTTGTTTGGTTTCGGACTGCCCTCGCGAGGGTTCTAGGACGATGACGGCGGCGGCGTTTTTTTTTTCTTCTTTTTTTTATTGTTCTTGATATCATACCATGGGAATTGGGGAGGCCTCCTCGGGAGAAAAGGTTCGGCAACACATCTCCATTGTCCTTGTTTCTCTATTTTTATTCTCTTCGTCTGGATCTACACTTGACATATGGTGGGGAGGCAGACATGGCGTATATGTGTATATCAGTGTGGCTTTGAGGGACAGAAGTCCTGGTTACGCGGTCCCACCAACAATCTATCGGATTAGGAACCCATGTCTACTTTTATTCCCCCCCCTGGTACAGGAACTTGATTGTCGATGATGATGATGGTGATAAGTTTTCTGGTGTGTGCTGGCCTTGGGCTTCCAGCATAGGAAGAGATGACCATATCACAAAGGGCGGTGGCAGGGCGAATTCAGGGCCACTCATGTCTATCGTCCCCCCGCCTCCGTCGGTATGATGAGACAGTACCGTTTAAGAGCAGGGGAAGAGAGGGATTGGGGCAAATATGGAAAAAGTCGACAAACCAGCCGTCTCTATCTACCTCCCTCTCTCTCTATCTCTCTCTATCTCTGGGTGTTCCGGTTCGTCTGTTGGCGATTCCCCTGTACTTTCTCTACCGTTGGCTGTGATTCGTGATCAACTCCGGATACGCCCAACCGATGCGGCCTGTGCGGGGGGGCAGAAGACGCCTCGCTTCTTTCTCGCTCTCTCTCTCTCCCTCTCCCTCACACAGAATGGTACGACTTTGACTTCTGCTCATCCTTTTTCTATTTTTCCGTTTCCCCCAAGCTTCTCGTCCAACACAACCTTGTCTCTTTCTGGGTTCGCCTGCCTGTTGTAGCATAGCGCTGTTGCGGTAGGTATACCATATTGGAAAGTCTGATTGTAATACTGCTACTATCCAGGAAGACGCACAAAACCTCCCCTGTCCCCAACCCCCCTTCCCCCGTCGTTGCTTCCCTCGGCATAGCATAACGAAGAGCAGAGATGGGACGTCTTGAGTTTGTGTGAGGCGAGGGGGGGGGGACACCAGCAGAGTTTGGCGTGGGGGAGGGGGTTGGATAAGGACCTGTAGCACACACCTTGGCTGCAGTTGGCTTGCTTCCAGAAAGCCGCGCTCGTGTTGTTTCCCGATAAATCGTTGGAGTTCTTTTGTTGCCGCGCTTGTAAATGGTTCCGTCGCTGCCTCGATCACTTGGGTGTGATGGAGCTCGCCCCCCCCCCCTCGGTGTCGTTACCGGGCACGACTGATGTTTCTATTGATTCCTCATCTTGCAAGGCATAACATATGCATCATCATTATCCGGTCTCGGACCTCCTGGCTTCATGTATAGGAGACGGATTCATGCAAGATCGTCGTTGGGTTAGGGGACCCTGCCATCCGTGTCATCTACTTATCAAGACATAGGACGCATTCCGGGGCCAGCTCCGTGTGTCGTTCACTTGGTCTTGAGTCTACCGCAGGAACGTGACTGTAGAAGGACCCGGCTTAGGCGTGGGGAACCATCGTGTACAAACCACGGCGAAGACGCGCAGATGGCAGGGTAACAGGCAAGTGTTGGAAGCCCGCGTTGGTGGCGATGGAGCAGCACAGGAGGCATCATGCACTATCGGATACCACGAAGTGCCGACCCGAGAGCAGCAGTTCTGTCCAACACAGCGGGAAACGGTCTTGGGTGAATGGGTGCTTGGGCGAGACAAACTCTCGTGGAAGGATGACTACGATAGTGGGCAACCAGGACGGTGTGTGGGTGGGTGGAGGGCAGGCGAAACGGAGATTGTCCCTCGCCGAGGGGTCCTCCGCAAGCTTGCATCGCAGTTTGCGCACTCGGTTTCGCCGGCCGCAGATCACTACACCACGTATACTTTTTCTTCTTCTTTTTGTCTCCTTTTCCGTATCATGCCGGTAAGTCAGGAACCGCGCCGACATTTGAGTTTGGTGAAACCGAGCTGCCAACTGGCTGGGTGATGAGGGGGGTAAACTGGGAGATGTTGTTCCGGTTGAGTGCGTCGAACTCATGTCGAGTCTGAATCAGTTCGTCCTCTTTAGTGTTCTAGTACATGAATCTCAATATGTGTGGGAGAAGGGATAACGAGGACACACCAAGGTCCAGCAAGGAGGGTCTGAGGGAGGGTAGAGTTGCAGCGGCGTGAGGAAGCCATCTCGGGAAAGAGAGAAGCATATGCCGGGCCAGTTCTACTGTGGCACATCTAACGCACTGCCTACAGGAGTTGTCTTCCGACGGCATTGCTCGATGAATCAAGTGAGTCCATCTGACCACCTCCTATCCGTCCTCCCTCTCACACCCGCTCCCCGTGCCTCTGGACGCATGCCAGGTAGCCAAGGGTCCCAGCCCCCCTCGACCCTCGACCCTAACACGGGTACGCCCACCCTCGCGACGGAGGTCGGAAACGCCCGCCCCGGGCCGTCCCTAGCTTCGGAGCTACCCGTGAACCTGGTACCCTCCAACGATGACAGCAAGCGGCATTGAAGCTTTCTCTCAGCCTGCGTTCCGCCCCCCCCTCCCCGCCCCCCGACGGCAGAACGTTTGCGTCCTTGGCCCATCGTACCGGGTTTTCGTTTCCTTTCTCTCCTCCTTGGACCTCTTCCCCCCTAGTCTGGTAGCAAACTGTCGAAGAAATGCTCTTTCCAGCGGCCGTTTCTTTGTGTCTCGCGAGTCGTATGGGGTTTCATCCCCGTTCATTACAGCGCCGTCGGAGTTTTACCCTGGGGCTATCTCTCGACTTACTCGCCTTTCGCTGGGCTGAACCGTAACCGCCACTCCGCCTCCGCCCCTCCATCAGACCGGTCCGTGCTGTCCTATCCCGAGCCAAACCTACCCGTCTTCTTCCCTTCTTCCTTCGAAATCCCCCCAAGGCTTCTCTTTTCCCTCTCTGTCGTTTGACCGGGTTGCATGTCAAGTCTCCCCTTGACCTTACTCGTCTGATAGCTGGATCGTCAGGGTCTCATGACTTGACTCCGAGAGGGCGGGCCATGGTGCATGTGAGCAGCCTTTCTCCCCCGTGCGGCCGTTTCGAAGGCCTGTCCTCCTTTCTTTCTCTTCTTCTCACGCATTCGTACTACTTGCCTTCTTACCATGTAACCGCCCCTTCAAGCTGGCCTCTCTCGCAGGCTTCCATGGTGTCCATCGCGCTGGCCTGCTTCCTCTTTCTCCAGCTACGACGTCCCTGTCTTGGACTATCATGCGTCGACTGCCTGTTGTGTTTCATTCTTGGACCCTAGCCATATGACCACGAAATGCGGTGTCGCGTTTGGCATACCAAGACAGACTCCCTGGAAACACCGCGTGCGATATCGAGACATCTGCTACCTCACCTAGATGGGGTATATGTGCTGAGGAGCGAATCTTTCGCAATGTCCAGGAAACTACTTGTCCATCTGCGTATATAGCGTCGCGGTGCACCCTATCATGCTACCAATCACATTCTCACGTCACCGTAACGAGGATATCAATCTTTGTCAAACTCTGTCAACCTTGTGTGGAGTATATACGTTTGCTGTTGGATGCATCTCACTCTCTCCAGTTGGCGAGAGTCCGGCACGATCGTACCGGAGGTAAACAAATGTAGGGTGAACCAAAGTTGTTGGAAGGACTGTAGATGGGTTGATGCGTCAACAAAAAACGGCTGTAACTGGCTTCTGATTGTCTTGTTGGTCTGGCTGGCTAGAAAGTGGCCGGTTTTGTGGACTTTTATGGTGACTGACTCATGCGTACGATTCGGCCGAAATACTGGTCCAACAAAAGTTGTATTATCCGTGGGTTTTCTTCCAGGTACAAAGATAGCGTTTGTACGAACTAAGATATATATATCCTGTGTGCACTCCCATTTGTCCATCAGACCGGAGATACATAAGTCCCTTCCTTGGTTGACTAAGTGCTCCGTATTCATTCTGTACACTGTTGTCCGGTGGCGTACAGTCATGTGATGTTATCCCAGCATTTGTAGTCTTGGGATAGCAGCAAGAAGCCAATATAGATGGATTAGATAGACCCGCTCCCTGTCGTCATTACACGACGACGCCTTTAATCGCCATGATCAACCCTGCACCACTATTATCAGCCATCGCACACCAATGCCGTAGTTCTTGATTTACCACCAGAGTTTGAGAGGAGATTGAGCCCTGATCAAATCGCCACTACTCCCCTTTCTTGCCGTAAACTCCATGCCCCACGACAAGGCTCGCCAGTATAATATCTGTCGGTGTTCGAGACCGGGTCTCTAGGCTCTCGTCTGCAAAGTTTCAGAAGTGAATACCTCGAGTTCTAAAACCCTGGCTAATGTACTGCTCTCTGCTTCCGAAGAGGCAAACTGGCATCCCCAAGGGGACTAGATATATGTCCCTCAGTCCAATCAATGCCGGATGGCCCGAGTGGTAAGCGCCGGGCACCGGTAACAACGGCCAAGCACAGCAGCACGGCACGAGACCGAACATGATGATGTTTGGCATCGCTGTTCGCACCGGCAAGCAGGCGGACAGGCAAGCCATCAGGAGTGACGTAGAAAACTCGAAGAGGCTCAAGATCGGTGCGATTCCGTTCAAGAAACGACTTTAGCAGAAATGCAACAGGTTCCAGGGCTCGAGTATGTAATGTGACGACGGGGCTTGTATAGCCTGGTTTTGCATTGTATGTGTTCGTAGCTCGTGAGTCTATCCTTTTGGATCTCATCGGGATCGTCCCTGAGCCCATTGCTCCTTTTCTAGAAGGAGAATGAAAAAAATAAAAATAAAAAACCACAAACACCATTGTTTGTGTCGGGTATCCTGTGAGCCAAACCCGACTCGAAAAAAATCCATCCACCTGGGATAGCCGTTCAGCGAGTGGTCACCCCTGAATGCGAAAACGAATGTGCCGAAGAGAAAAAAAAAAGGTATCTTATATACACTAGAAGACAAAGTGAGAAGCGTGGCTGCCCACTTTCAGACAAGCCTGTCCACCACAAACCCAGGTGGCTTAAAGAAGAAGAAAAACCCAAAACCCTGGCGCCAGCCCTTCGTAACTGGACGTGTCCCATAATCGGAAGATTCGTTCACCACCGGTCCAAAAGACTTAGGCAGAGGCGTAGGTCTGACCAAGAGCGCTGAGGCCAGAGCCGGAGGTGAGGACGCCATCGCTGGCCATGAAGTAGGAGTAGCGTTCAAGGAACGAGAGGCTGTCCAGCTTGGGAAGGTTGGTCTGGACGAAGCTGGAGATCTGGTCGCTGCTGCCGAAGGGAGCGAACTCGGTGAGCCAGACAGGCTTGCCGCCGCAGATCTCGTGGACCGACTGGAGGTGGTCAAAGAGGGTGGAGGCGGCATCGCACGGGGAGTACCAGTGGGTGACGCAGAATTCGTAAATGCAGCCGGCTTTATCGCAAGCGAAAACCCAAGACTTGAGCCAGTCGAGACCCTCGCCGGGAACGTTGCTGTTGGTGATGGCAGGGGAACCGATCTTGACCTTGCCAGCATAGGGGTTCATGTACTGGACGTGAGCGGCGGCAGCGGAGCCGGCGTCGAGGTTGCACTGAGAGACATTGTCACACTCGTTGAAGCTCAAAATGTGAGTCGAGCCCTGGGAGATGGCGGCATCGGCGTTCTGAGTCCAGCGAGCGGTGTGGGTGTCAATGGGACCCCAGAGCATGGGAACGTACTCGACGCCGGAAGCAGAGAGGCCGTTGTCTTGCGAGTCCCAGTTGTAGGCCCACGAACACTCCTTGCAAGCGCCGGTCATGAAGGCGTTGACCTTGGTGGGATCGTTGTAAGCGAGACCGCGCTTGCCACCAGTGGAAGGGGAGCTGTAGCTAGCGGCAGAGACCTTGGCAGGGGGTGCGGACGAGGCAGCGGGGACGGCGATGGCAGCCTGCTCGATAACGGGAACCTTGGAAGGGGAGGAGGGCTTGGGAACAGCAACGAGAGTGGTGCTAGGGGCAGCGACAGCGACAACCGGGGGAGGTGTCGGGGTCGGGACCACGATGGAGGTGGAAGTGGTCGTCGGGGCGGTGGTCGGGGGGACGGCCAGGGCGACGACCGGGGCGGTGGTCGAGGTGGTCGAGGTGGTCGAGGTGGTCGAGGTGGTCGAGGTGGTCGAGGTGGTCGAGGTGGTGGTTGAGGTGGTGGTTGAGGTGGTGTTCAGGGCCTGGGGAACCACAAGCTGGGCAACGGAAGGAACCGGAGCGGGAGGGATGGGAGTGAAAGAAGAGGAGCTGGTCGGGATGGGTTCGCCATCGGTGACAGTTACGGTGACCCAGTGGGTGACCATTTCGACCTTGAGAGCACGCTTGTCGGCGTGCATGTGACGATGAGCGTTGAAGCCCAGGGCCTGCTCGGCAAGAGCGAGCGAGGCGATAACCGAAAGTGCTTTCTTGGCGTACATGTTTGCAATTGTTGATGGGTATCAGTTTCAAGGAAGGTAGGTGCCTTTGCTTTGGGTAGGAAGCTGTTGATTCTTCTCTTAGTCCAGGTCCAGGTGCTTCGGAGAGACCAAGTTCCGGTTTTGGAATGAGGGTGGATATATCGTTGGTTGTGAATATACACAGAAAGAGGGAGTGATTCAGTTGCTTGTGGGTTCTTCAGTCTGTCAAAGACTCGAATAAGGAAAGTGATGCGGTTGTTGTTGTGAGCTTGAATGAACAACTAACTGCTGGGACACAAGGTCGGAGCTGGCGACCGTTGGTGAAGGAGTGTGTGTGTTGACTGAAGAAGGAACAGACAAGCAAGCCGGTTGGTGTGAGGAAGGGGGAACAGTAAAACGGAAGGAGTGTGTGGGGAGGGGGGGGAAGAAGGCAGTTTAAGAAGACGATGGGAAGGAAACAAATACGACAGGGACGTGGAAGGAAACAAACCTGGAAGAGGTGGTGGGAAGGCGAGGGAGGCTAGCCGGGGATGAAGGCACAACCTCAGATGCAAGTGCGGTTCGGTTGGCAGTTGCCAGTTTGGGCGCTGCGCTGGAACTGGGATGGGCGTGGGTCCCGATGGGTCGGGGCTGCTTTGCGATTCACCACGAGGAAGGAGGGGAGTGGGGGATGGAGGTACAACGCCATAGTATCCGTACGACCTTACTATAGGTACCTGGGTACGGATAAGTGTCCACCAACGAAGATGGCCCCTTCCTCCGTACCTGCCTATCCGCTCACACTAGGAGAAGAAGCAGGGGGAGGCAGGCGGGCCGGACGTGCGAAGTGTGTATCGCGCTTTCCGAGAAAGGTAGTAGTGCGGTTGCTATTGCTGCTACTCTTCTCTTGCCACATCCGAACAGCACAAGAAATCGTTATCTAGCAGGTGGAGCGCGCCCTTTCTTTTTCCAGATCGAGACTTGGGCATCATTCCTTCGTTAACGGTGTTGGTCAACTATCCGTTCGGAGCAGATCCCCTTGGGAGAAGGAAGTTGATGTTGTTGTTGTTGTTGTTGTTGTTGTCGGCCAAATCCTGAGTGGTGATTGACCGACACCAGCTGGTCAGTGTGGGAACCGTCGCCCCCCTTGGTGGTTCGTCAGAGCTTTGCCCTCTTCATCCGATTTCATGTTCGGATTTCTTTCTTTTGGTTTCGGGGATGATCAGCGTCTCACGAACATGCTTTTTTTCTCTCTGCTGATCCTGGTTATCTTTTGTGTTTTTGTGGCCCCTCTCTCCATAGCCCTGTGGTCTGGACACTCTTGCAGGCGCCCCAGTGGGCGGGGACAATACCTACACTACAATACGGGAGATACGGGGGACGCACTGGGCACGAACGCACGTGGATGGTGTGCTGGCGTTGCGTCCTGATGACAGGTGATTACCAAGGACTTCCTCGACTCTGCCAACTCGATGATGCCCCAGAGTTGCTGTCCAGAGCGGAGAGTAGCTGCCACAATGCATCGCAGGAGCAGAAGGCCCCACAATGACATAGGAGGACCAGTCAGGACGACCGGGTGAACGGAGGGCTGCTCTTTCTTTCTTTTTCCTTTCTTTCTTCTTTTTCCTCCGGCAAGTTTGAGTCTATTTCTTAATCAATCAAGTCTCGCTTGACTGGCCCTCTGCCCTCTACCGCGCATTATTGGCAAAAATCACATCGCTAGCCATCTCCGCCTGGTGCCAAACGAGGGAGAAACGAGCAGGGCAGTTTTGGGGTTGCCACCCACCCACACCCAGCGATAACTACGAATAGCGACATAGACATGGACCTAGGTAGCTTGCTTACCTAGACCTTTCGGCCAAAAAGAGGGGGAAGAGTACGACCGAGGCCTGCTTCTGCTTGAAAGAAGAACAATAGCAAGAAGCGCCATTTTCTGCCCCTGGCTTATGCAGGTACACGTTCGAGGGGGGGGCGACATGCTGCAGGAACCGGCATCACGGCGCAACCCTTTGGAAACACCGGGCGCGAAGGGCACACGTTACGGAATAGGGTACAACGACGCCAAGTAACTTTTACCAGTCGCCACTGCGAAACGATACCTACACTACATTGCCAAGCAAGTCCTGTTCCCTGCTTACCACCCCTCCCAACTCTCAACCGCCTGCCCCCCTCGAGGAGGCCCCCATCCGGACCAGTCAGCGATTGGCAACACGTTGTAGTTGCACTCTGGCTGGCAACGCAACGGGCACAAGCACAGGTGGCAGTCAATGGTACCGAATACGTAGGTGGGACGGAACTACTGCACGCAAGTCCCTCGCTCACCTCAGACAAACGGTGACAACGGTTGGCGTGATGCAGGTGAGAGAGGGCCAGACGGAAGCCGCCTCTTGGGTGACTACGCAGTATCCGTATGGCGTTCTCATCTAGGTACGTCTGCCGCCGGGTTCTGGCTCTGGATCAACTCCCTAGTGTTGGGTAGTGTAGATTTGTTGCCGGGTGCAAAAAGCCTCGACGCCTCTACTTGACGCTTGGCCGCATGTGAAGGGGGGAAAACCTGCCAAACCCCCTTCACACACCTCCCTCCATTAGGTCGGTGCCTCCACCAACGTCTTGCTTGTGGTGCTATCGATGACAATTCTCCCTACAGAAAATCCCTCTATTCGCCTCCTCCCCGAAAGGTTTCTACTCAAAAACTCGTCACCATGGTCTTGGACCCCGCTCCCTCTCTACCCCCTAATGATGAGAGCCCTACGACATCACCAGGGAGACGTGCAAAATTATCTCCAATGCGCCAGAGACAGAGCCATCACCGGATATTACCACCAAGGCGCGGCCCACCCTTTCGTGTCTTCGTCCGCCCTGACGCGGCCCCTCTCGGGGGTGGGTGAAGCCTCACAACCCATGAGTCACTTTCCCTGAAGGTCGTTGCCAGCCAGCAACCGCGCGGCCCCTCCCCCCCAATACTGACGAAGCCTCGGCTTGGGGCTTGGTTGGGTTGGATGGCCAGGCTCAGCTGGGCTGGAGGCGTCAGCCAGGGTTGGCAGGCAGAGCCCTATCATTTACGGACACACGTACCTGCACTTTAGAGTCCCGTATCCAGTCCCACGGCGCTAGTGTCAGACGGAGTTGGGACGGCGGCTCCGCGCTTGGGGCAAGCCGCTGGACAGTCAGTCTGGACTAGTAATACAGGTTGTAAGTGCTATTGTCATGGGAGAATGGGCCCGACGGGAGAGGCAACAAGGTCCCCGTTTCACCACTTTGGGCTGGGGCCGACCCACGTGATCGTCGTCGACTTACTTGGTGCTTTGACGCGCCTATCCCCTTTTTCGTTTAGCTGACCTGACTAGATAGTACGTGGAACCTGATGGATCTCTAGGGCGGACTGTCGGCATACGAGGTCCAGACTCATGTTCCCAGGCCTGGGAGTTGGCATCGTATCCAAGAAGCACACGACTGTTCGACACATCGATGGACCCTGTAGGGCCGACCCCAGTGCGCCGGCTGTGAAACCGTAAGCGAAATGAGCTCCCGCAGCCGCGGGGCAGATAGCCAGCGAATCCCATCCGTCATCCCAGAAGATGACGCCCATTCTGCCACTTGGCGCCCACTTCCCTGGCCCATTTCTGACAGCCGCCCAGCTGCTGCTCTACCCAAAAGGCAAACTAGTGCTAGTGTAGGTATCCGTACACCAACCGTAGAATGCCTGGTCTTCCGGATTATCCAAAGCTTGTCAGGCCCGACGATCGCGCTTGACACTCGACCAGCTCCTGAGGACACAATGTGCCAGGATGAGACGGCCAGCCCGGGTTAACTCAGCGCCACGCCGACGCTAGACCCTTGGAATGCCCCCCCTTCGGTTCCATCATTCGACGCTCTCATGCCGGCCACGGTCCTCGATCAGGGCAATCAGCACCATTCTGGACGCTCACAGCCTGTCTTATTCTGGCACAGTGGCCCCACTGAGGCTGAAGCCGACTTCCCGGGCATACGACTCAGAGCCGTGAGGCGCGCAAGATGGAGCAACTACCGGAAGTTCGGAACACGGGGGCTTCGGATAGATGCAGAGCATAAACGCAGCACAACAATTAATATTCGTCCGATGTCACTTGCTTTTACTTTTACCTCTTATCTTGAAGATTGAGTTTATGCACGACGATTGCACAGGAAAACACGTTTGTCCGCCCCAGAGTCCCCACAATGTTCGCTTTACGGTTCTCAGTGTTCGGTCAATCCTCCAAAGGCTGTTGACGTATGCATCAATCAAATCCCGGGTGCCTGCCCACCACGTCGCAAAAATCTCGATGTTCGGCCTCCATCTTCCATCTTCAACAACAAGTCAAGTGACGCGTCCACAGAAATCACTCACAACTCTGACAAAGTGTATTGGAAGAAAAACGCTACCGTGCTCGGTGGTAGGCCGGTCGAGATCCACACCTCCGGGGATGCCGTATTCCCGGGAGGAACCTATGCCCCGATATCGTCGTTCTCGCTTACCGGCGACCCACGACCGTTCAGACCTCGTGTGCCGACATCGTACAGGCCTCGCTCGGCGAGAAACAAGTATCTACTAGCAACATTCCTAGAGAGCCTTGCCTTGCGCAGCCTCCACGGCTACACCAATGACGGTTACGGCTGAAGATTACAAGTGACCAATGACATCGCGGCATCGCCGAACATGAGACTAGTACGGACACCACGGCGGGCTATCAATCGCCCGACGCCCTGCCACAATGACAGTCGTTGATAACGCCACACGTGACCGGGCTGCCTAGCCATCGACGTCGTGCCCGCTTCGAGCTGAAGGCAACGCCAGGTCAAATCTAGCTCGACCGTTGAAGCTGGTTTGCCCAGATCCAAGCCCTTCTCCGTAGCTCCTGGCGGGTGCATAATCCCTTTGCCAGATTGTCAAAGGAGCCGAATTTACTGCTCACCCGGACTGCTCCGGGAGACGATACCCGCGGCATCATGAACAATACTGCTCGGCCATCCCTTCCTCTGCTGGCCGCCGCGCCTGCTCTGAACGATTTCGATCACGGAGCTCTCTTCCTGAGTGACGAGCTGCTGCTGTTGGGGGACGAGAATATATACTCGAGCGAGACGCCTTCAGAATCGTCCCCGAACAGAGCGTCTCAGTCTGGAGCCGGGAACTTGGGCGGAGATGGGTCGATACAGAACTCCACTGCTCCGAGACAGCGACTTGAGAGGAGAAGACATACAAAGAGCCGAAGGGGGTGTTTCAACTGCAAGAGAAGGCGAATCAAGGCAAGCTTTCAAGTTGATGAGCCTTTGGCATGTGTCCCCTAACTCTGCTTGCAGTGCCAGGAGACGCACCCGGCTTGCGGTCATTGCGCCAAATCGGGACTCAAATGCGAATACCCAAACTCCCCGGCTATAGTGCATCAGGTATGTGCCGACAGGTGAATCCCGTGCCGCCTCTCTGATTCGATATCACGCCTAGCCGCATCATCAAGTCCCGTTGTTTAGTCTACAAGACATGAGGTTCTTCCAGCACTTCATGCTGCGGTGTTATCCACATCACCCCATAGGGAACGAGAACATCTGGACGCACGAGGTCCCGTGCCTGTCTCAGAGCGTAGGTCCCCTTTCTTCGCCCGTCCAGGCAACCAACCTACCTACTAAAAACCTCCAAAGTACGAATTCCTCATGCACGCCATCCTCGGCATGGCCGCCTGCGACCTGATGAACACGGACCCGAGCCTCCTCGTCTTCGTCATGGCGCACCGCATCAAGGCCATCGAGGCCATCAAGAAGTCTCTGGCCGAGCTGGCCCGGCAGCAGGCACGACCTCGGAGCACGCCAACGCGCTGGTGGCGACGTGTTTCGCGCTGACGTTCCAGTCGGTGACGTTGGAGGACGGCATGGCCGAGTACATGACCTTCATCCGCGGCATCCTCATCGTCGGCACGCTGATGTGGATCAAGGGCATCAAGCCCATCTTCGTGAACGTCATGGGCGAGGATTCGAGCGCCGTGCTGGAGCCCAGAATGGCCGACCTGCCGCTGATTCGGAGGGAGTGGGCGGACGGCGCGGTCGAGGCGATTGGTGGGCTGAGAGGGCTTTGCCGGGACGTGGTGGAGGTTGAGTATTTCGAACTCATCATGGCGATGGCGACGAAGCTGCACACGTCGTCATGGGAAGGTAAGTCGCTTCGACCGATGCTGAACGTGGAAATGCTGACGAGCGCTGCGTTACATAGCATACCAAACCTTGACAAAGCACTACGGCTGGTGGATCCAGCTCCCGCACGAGAAGTTCCAGCGCGTCATCGACACGGGGAACCAGACGATGATCCTCCTGGCGAGCCACTGGATCGCGCTGAAGCAGATCATGGCCTTCATCACCAACGCCGAGCACGAGTGTCGCGAGAAGGCGCCGCCGCCAAAGGAGGAGAGCGCCGCCGACCCGGGCACCATCCGCTGGCTGGGGTATCTCAACAAGCAGGTCGACCACGAGCACCTCATATACAATCGGTGGCCGGTATGGGTCGAGGCACGGCTGAAACAAGATTTGGGGTTCTTCGGAAAGAGATGCTGAATAGTGGCGCCAGCCGGTGCGATAGAAGAGTGGACGATTTGAAGTCTTGAGGAAACCATCATGTTCCAACCAACTGTCCCTCGGTTCCCAGTCTGGGACGCACGCGTCTGGTTGAGCGGGTGTTTCTCACAGCTGTCCGAACCCGCCATAGTGCTCCATTCCGTAGCCAGCCGATCAAGTCAAGAAGGGTTTGATCAGTTTTCCAAGTCAAGTTACGAACCACTGCTTCGCGCCGTATCCGAGAATCCCAGCACGGCATGCCCAGCCCTACGCCTTGTTGATCAATCGATGCGATCCACGTGGTTCCACATCATCGAGCAACCGACCATGCGTGTCATTTCCGACAGAAGCGAGACGAGATAAGCACTCTTCATCCCATGGGCCGATCACAGGTCCAAAAATATTGCTGATCCTCATCCTCATCAGGCAGTGCGGGCGTTGTGATGTGACCCACCTCTCTTTCTCTCTCTCCCTCTCTCTTCCTCTCTCTTCCTCTCTCTTTCTCTCTCTTTCTCTCTCTCTCTCTCTCTCGCTCTCTCGCTCTCCGCGGCCGCCGTGCCCCCCGTCGTCACCGCACCGCCGCCTCCCTCCCCCTCCCGGGAGACGATGCATCTGATTGGTCAGGGTTGACAAAACGAGGAATGCGGCGCGGTCGGTTGTGGGGCCGTCGGCCAATTGTGACGGCCGGCTTCGGGGCGGGGGTTGACCGACCCGACCGTCCTAACCCCCAACACAGAATAGCGTTGTCTTGTCCTCCTGTTCCTCGGCGTACCGAGCCACCGTAAAAATATAACAAAATAAGAAGTAAGACATGCGAGCAATACGGTTGCGACGCGTAGGTTAGCGTGGGCGGAGTTATGTGGTCATTTGGGGGGGTTGGAGGGAGAGAGAGGGATGGGCTCAAAAACCATTGCTTGTGTTCTTGTTTGGGAAAAGCCAAGCTTTCTTTCTGCCTTGTGTCGAGCCCGCAAGACCCGAGCCATCCACGGGTCTGATGTGAAGCTTGCTGCGCCTCGGACGCTCACGGTATGCTAGAATCTCGATTGGACGGGCTACGTTTTCAGAGAATTCCTCGCACACGTAGATTTTGTTACCTTTTTCCCCCTTCCCCTCCTCATCCTGAGGCTTTATAGTTCGGCTTTTGCTCGACGTTGAAGTCGGCACCCGTGAAAGCGAAACATATAATAAAGGTCGCATACCGTCCCCTTCGGACCCAGGACCACTACACCAAACACACCAAGGTTACCCACTGCAAAAGCTCCCCTTGGAGTCAGTCCTATACGAAATTTGCTTGTTGATTGCTCTTGAAGGACTAGGCGCGATCGAGACAAAGCCACAACCAGCAATACCGACACATCAAGCAGCCCTTCCTCCGAGTAATAGTCGGTTCCTGCACGGCTAGCCAGCAGCCCTGGCAACCCACCATGTCGGTCCTCGCAGACAAGTCCCACGACATCCACGGCACCTCCGCCCTGCCCACCTACGCCTGCGCGACAGAGGTCGAGCTGACCGAAATCGCACCCTCGGCGTCGACTGCCAGCCTTCCTCCCGCCTACGACGACGCCACCGCCACCGCCTCAGCGACGGCGAGCCGAGATGACACGCTCGGGAGCCCGGACGGACCACCGCGGGTGCCCTTCGCGCCCACGGTCCACTTCCAGGTCGAGACCGCGGGGAAGCCGTGGCTCTCGCTGCCCGTCGGCACCCGGCCGGACCCGATCCCCATCTACCGCGTCGAGGCGGGGGGGTCCCGGGCCCCCGGGTCCACTCCGGCGTACGTCTCCCTCCGCTTCTCCCGCGGCAGCAACAGCTGCCACCTCGTGAGGGGCCGCGACGACGACGCCTCGCAGTCGCCCGTGTGCACGACGCTCTACCGATTCGGGCCGGGCAAGCCGCCCATCCTCCGCCTGCCGCGCGCGCTCGTCTCCCCGCCGGGCGAGCCCGCGGCGGACGGGGACCTGGACGTGTCGGTCATGCCAAAGTCCCTCGTGTCGCGGGCCCAGGTCCTCGAGACGCCCCTGGGGACGTTCCAGTGGCGCTACGCCTCTCGCCGGGAAGGTCGCCGCCGGGTGATAACTTAGAGATTCGACCTCCTCGTCTGCGAGCTCGTGACGCGCGTCGCGCCGGCGGGCTCACGTATCTGACCCTGCGACGGCGCGGGTCGCCCAGCTCGTGCCGTGCTTTCGCATCGGTAGGGAACGTTCTGGACCGGACCGTGGGAAATAGCTTCACCTGACCAGGGATCCTGTCCCGTGGACGGGCCGCAAAGGGAAGCCGCCCCGCGGGGGAAGTTGCAAACCAGACTTCGTCCCCGAGCTGGGGGGGGCCACTATGAGCAGAAGGGTGTTGTAGTATTTAAACTAAGAGTACAATGTGCGCTCGCAGATCATCGTGGCGCATGATCTGTAACTGTCGCCGGGCAAAGGCATGTCGTGCCGCGTCAGGGTTACCGCCGTAAATGTCAGTGACTGAAGGGACGCTTTACCACCAATTCAGCGGGCATGGCAGTGTGGGGTAGACGACGGCATTGCAGAGAGTGCCGTTACGAAGGGTTACAAATGCTAGGAACTCGCAGCCAGCTAAGTATTCTGTACAGTAGATTTATCGCCAGAAGGTTCGAAATCCTTCAGCTCAACCGGTGATGTGCGTTGATCCACACCGTAATACCGTAATTGGCTACGGCCAGGCGTGCGGCGTGTCCTGAGATAATCGGGAGAGTGCCTATAGGGCATAGAGGTGGGTCACCGCTCAAGTAGAGAGTAGTGGGCCATTAAACCGTAATCGGCAGACCTCTTACCCGCACCCCTGAGTACAGTCTGCATCCGACTCGCGTGAAATGACCAGCGCTCTACGCGACGGCGCGGGTCGCCCAGCTCGTGCGCGGGCCGGGCACGAGAACGGAAGGGACCGGGCGCAGCGCGGCGGGGAACGGGGGCAGGCTGGCGGTCGACCTGTCGCGGTGGACGGGCGCGAAGGGCAGCCGCGCGCGGGACGCGGTCGAGGCGCTCGTCGTCGCGAGCTGCGTGGGCATGCTGAAGAAGGAGGTGGACCGGCGGCGGATGCACCAGATGATGATCATAGCCGGTGCTGCCTCGGGAGGTTCCTGAGGCGGCCGGTGCCCCCCTATGGACGAGGTTGCTTCGGCTTTGGGGAGAGACGGTCGTTTTGCCGCGTGTGTAACTTACCTATAGGAGACTGTTTCTGCAGACGAATCCTCATGGGAAACGGAATGAACCTATGATTTATTCAACGGTGCCATGGCGTTAGATTTCCTGTTGGCCACTTTACATAGATCTAGATGGAGTTTCCTCAGGCACTCTCCTTCTCGTTACTGCGCTTCTTGTTTAAGTCACTATCCACCACATCGTCAAGCACAGCCAATCCTTGTCTCTCAACACAAAATTTTGCCCTCTTCAACCAGTCCCATTGCGAGAACAAGTGGAGATTCTCCAACAGCGCGGCGTACTCGGCGGGCAGACCGTCCGTCTGCGACAGAGAGTGTACGGGGTCGGCGAAGCCGCTCGTTGGAATAAACAGTCTCGTCAGCGATGTATCTCCGTCTCGAGAAAGCCGCGCGCCGGCCGCAGTATAGAAGTGAACGGCCGATGCGACGGTGCCGGCGAGAATGAGAGATGCGACGACTCGTCTCTTCGACGACCGCGACGTGCCTGCGCTTGTTCGAGGCAGAACCGACGAAAGACCGAGATAGAAGGCCGAGACGGCTACCGGAGCCACCCGGAAGAGCGCGATGCATCCGTGATGCAGACCAGTTCCGCCGCGGCCCATCCACGCCGGGGCGAAAACGAGCAGCGGCTGGAGAAGAATCGCCAACGCCGTCGCGGGCAGCGCCGCAGCCTGACAGGACACGTTGGCCGCCGAGAAGGAGCGAGAGGCGCGAGAGAGGGGGGGCGGCGGCGGCGGCGACGACGGCGGGAAGCGGAACGCGCACGCGAAAGGCGGCCGCCGGTTCATGATATCGTGGGGCGATTGGAACGGGGGCTTCGAGGCCGTGTTCCCCCAGGTCCTCGGGGCCTTGACGGTCCTGTGGTCGGCGATTTGGCTGTTCCACCTTGCCTTCTCCAGGCAGCACGTTTGCGGGTTTGAGAGGGAGGCGTGGCATTTGGCGGGAGGAGAGAACGAAACGTACCGGATGGCAGAGTAGAACGATCGTTACGTGCGCTCCAAGAGAGTGAAATGCAACTCTAGCATCGGCTTGGGATTTCCATCCGTCTGAATACTTCTCTGCGAGCGCATCATGTTAAACAGTTGAACTTGGACTCGAAAAGCTACTTGTATTGTTCTTCTGGGGGGGGGGGGGAATGGTTTGAAAATTGATATGGCTGACTGAATTCGGTTTTATGATAGACTCTTTGAAAACTTGTCTCTATGGTTTCTCGTACCGACATTGATCGCGTAAAGAGCTCACTCTTATGTTTGGACCGCAATCATTACGCGGAACAGTGATTCGCATTCAGGTATCTGAAGATATGTAGCCCGTGGGACTGCCTCGGAAACAGCGATGATGTTCCCTCGCTTCCTAATCCCCCGGTATAGGATTGTACCAGATGGCTCAAAGCCTGAAAATCAACGTCGGTGATTCATTTTCACCCGGTGCATCTTGCTTCCTCCCAGAGATGTCGGTAATCTGCGTCATTTCTTACGCCGCGGCGACTGGCGCAATCTTGCCACCGCCCAACTTGGCTTTCTGCCATGTAGGTTAGGGTCACAATGCCATGGACGCGAAAAGGTCAAGCCATGTTTGCTTACCAGGAGCGGCACAGAGCACACCACACTCAGCGCGGCTGCCGCAAGGAAAAACGCCCAGATACTGGTCATGGCGCTCGCAATCTCGGGGATCACCAGGGCCTTCTCGGCGTCCGTCAACTCCTGGAATGCGCTGCTGCTGGTTCCTGCGATAAGGTTGCCGATCTCGGCGTGGGGGAAAGCCGGGAGGGCATCGCCGACCTTCTGGACGGCTATGTTGTGAAAGAGGCTTCCGCTGATGGCCAGGAAGAGAACCATGCCGAGGTCCTGGGCTGGGCGTGATGAACTGTGTCAGCTCTCTCCGTACGACCAAGGGTTTTGGGAACGTACAGATGGTCATGGCGCCGACGGCATTTGCAATGTCGTGAACAGGGACCAGGGATTGCACAATGGCGAAACCGGCCACGATGTAACATCCGGTGCCGGCTCCTACGAGAATGTTGTATCCGTAGATGTTGGCATTGGCCGTAGTGTCATTTACTGTGTCTGTGGGATGGTGGTTAAGGCCGGTGTGTTGTTCGTGCTTCTGAGGGTTCCGAGGAGACTATGATAGTAGACGTATCGGATGTATGAAAAGACTTACACATGAGAGCAGTGCCAATGAGCGTAAGTGAACTGCCTCCAATGTACCAGACGGGGATCATTCCGTATCGCGGCATCAAGAAGCCGTTGACCATGGAGGCGAAGACCATGAACATGATCAGGGGAAGCAAGCGGACTCCAGCGTCGAGCGCCCCGTCGTCCTAAGTGATTGAAAAATCAGTTCCCGAAGAGCCAAGAAGCCTTACTGACCTACCTTGATGAATTGAAAGTAGAGCGGAACGTAGTATGTCATGGCCTTGCAACGATTAGCTCCATGTGCGAAAGGGCGGGGAGAGGGATAGCCTACGAGGACAATTCCCGACGACAGGAGTACCTGAAGCTGCATGTTGATCAGGATCGGCTGCTTGAAGAAGTGCAGGGGTAACAGGCGATTCTCCTTGGAGACCAATGGGTTCAGCTTGAGAAGGACGACGAAGGCGATCAAGAGGACGCCCGTGACTATCCACAAGGCGATGACGGTAGCGGACCGGAAAGGGTAGATGACTCCGCCAAATGTGAGAACAACGGTCAGGCAGGCTGATCCAGCGATGAAGATGATTGAGTTGACCCAGTCAATGAGGCGCAACTTCTCGGCCAGGGTCTTGGTGGGATGGGGGTCGACGCTTGGGAATAACAGGAAGTAGGCCGGGGCAAAGGCAGCGCCCACCGGGAGGTTAACGTAGAATCCCTGACCGCCGCTGGTCAGCACTTGTGTGGCATGGCAGGAACTGAAAGGGAGAGTAGAAAAAAATTTACCCATCTCCAGGTGGCACTGCTTGCGGCAAAGGCGCCGCCGATCTAAGGCCCACAGAGTCAGTAGTTGATTGGGGACCTCAAACAGAAAGATGTTGAAGATGTAGACCCACTTGATGTTGAAGACGCCGTATACCTTGCCCCAAAGCAGGATGAAAATGGTGCCGAGGGCGAAGCCGGTGCCGATCCACGACAGTAGCTCGAGACGGCCAAAGTCGTTGATGATGGCCGGCTGGATGTTGGCGACGATGATGTTATCGAGTGAGAAGAGGAAGGTTTTGGAGAGCATTGCGGCGTAAGCGACGGCCCACTGAAGGGGAGAAAACGGGTCATGTTAGCAATAGGTAGATACCCAGGCCTAAGCATAACGAACGCTATGCTATGCCAGATCGAGGCCAGGGGCTTGCTCACCTTCCAGCCATGAATGTTGCGAGCACTAGTCTTTTCGACCGAGGGATAGTCGCAGCTGCTGCCGTTGCGCTCCCGGGGGGACTCTGGGAGTCGGAATTCGCAGTGTCCGCATGCTTCTCGGGGTGGGGCCCGTTCCGGCCCGGCGACATGTTTTCGAGGCTCATGTTCGGAAAATCCAGTAAGAGGTGTTGTGTACCCATGTCGGTGATGGGCTGTCGGCTGAGATGTGAGGAAGTATTTGGTAGAAGTAAGGTGAGTGCAGCATGCTGTGTGGTAAAAAAAGAGGGTGTGTTCAGATTAATGCAGCCCGGGAAGGTGAAGGAGACGGAGCGCGGGCACGGGACGGAGACGGAGGCCAAGGGACCCACTCTGGAAAACAGTGACGCACAGGCCACTCATGCCGAGGAACGGGGCTTCCGCGGCCGAGGGAGAGCTTTCATTCGTCAATCAGGGTATCCACTACGGGCGCTAGTCCGCTCTACACCGAGGAAGTCATCTTATTGGTCAGACTAGAAGCGTCCGTGGTACGTACTTACAGTACCTACCTACCTAGGCCGTTACCAAAGGTACAGAGTACCTATATACCTAATGACAGTGGATGATCTGGACAAAAGAATCCAGCAGTCAAACAGCTGATCCAGACGCATATCAAAGTATCTGGACCAAAAGTGCAATATCTTATTGTTTAAGAAGTCTGCTATACACATCGAGATAGCAATATAGAGCAATCGATGACAAGGAATGTTAGAGAATGGTTCTTGTCAGTCCTATAATAGAAATATCTACTGATTTTCTGTCTGCTACGGCATATTCCAATGTCAAGGCCGCTATCTCCATCTTGATGTCCTAGGCCTGTCCCAAGCTTCAGCCCAGCGATGCTCAATTTGGCCAGGCCGAATGCCCGTTTGCTTCCGCGGTGCCCTGACCTGATGCCTTGGCGTGACGATTTAGGGGCCGCGTTTCCAACTGATGACGTCGGATGCTGCGATATTCATCGAGAATGGTACGGTAGTCGCTTGGCTTGTACCTGACAAACCACTCTTCAAAGACACTGCTCTTGTGGAAGGGGTTGAGGCCCAGATCCCTCATGAGCGTGTCAATGTACTGCTCCCGTAGCTGTGAGCGCGATGCTGCCTTGTTTACTGGCAACGCGTTGCCCTTCTGCATGACCAAAAATGATGTTACCTACCGGAATGTAGTCGTATATGAAGTACGAGTGCTTCCTGCCCTGCTCGAGGTACCTCTTTCTGGTCCACGCGTTGAATGTCGCTGCTTCAAACTCCATGCTAACACAGTTTTTTCTTTTGCAGGACGGCCTGTTCCAGAACATGCCTTATGATAGCTGGACGACGTCTATCCGGCTAAAAGTCCTTGGCAGCAAGAACCTACACGAAGCGACTGCCGACCTCCCGCTGGACTTCTTCCTTATGACGAGTTTGGCGTTAGGCGTCCTCGGCACGCCGGCCTAAGCTAACTACGCTGCAGCTAACTCTTACACGGACGCGCTGGCCCGTCTGCGCCGCTCCCAAGGCAAACCTGCGTGCGCCGTGGTTCTTCCCATGGTCCTGGGAGTCGGCGTCGTGGCGCAGAACCTCGAGATAGAAGACTCTCTGAAGCGCATGGGCATGTATGGCATCGAGGAAGAGGCGCTGCTGGACTCGTTCGAGGTCGCCATCCTGGAGCAGCAGCAGCAGCAGCAGCAGCAGCAGCAGCAGCAGTACCAGGGCGGCTGATATTTCTTTGATTACTCTCTTTCGGGCGCGTCTCGTGACGCTGTATTCCTGTTCTTTTTTACCAGCAGTCTGAAGGATGATGCGGTTGAAACAGAAGGCCGAGAAAACTTCTACATTCCGTCAACGAAGTTTCGTAGTCAGCGGGTTACGGCTAGAGCGCACAGTTTTGGTCTAGATACTGTTCTTATTCTTCGTTACTCTCGCATAGAATTTCCTAGCAACGCTAAATTCACTCCATGAAAGCCAAAAAGGTATACACCTCTCTCCTTGTCTTGATACTGCCACCTCATCTATAGGAACTTCCTCGGCGCAGGCATCCGAAGCAAGCATTCATTCCCGTTCGTCTGTTGAGCTTTCACACGCATCACAAGCCTCCTACACAGCCAAGGAGTTGAAACCGTTCTTTTCATTCCATTCCTGGAGCTTCGCCTCGACATGGGCCACGCACTGGTGCCAGTGCCCTCCCGACTCCTCAATGTGATCCAAGAAGGCGAGGAGTAACCTCGACGAAGCCACGACGCCGTTCAAGGTCTCGCGGTTCCCCCCTTGCACGAGTTCCCGGTACAAGGCCTTGAGGGCCATGGTGAGAGGCCACGCGATGAATATGGCCTGCAGCATGATGATGCTGTTGTGCGCCTTCCACGGCGACGGCAGGATGAGGCGCACCGCGCTCGATATCAGGAACGCCGCGGCCGTGGCGCGTCGTTGGCTCTCGGCGGTCATGAGCGGCGGCAGCCCCTGCTCTTCGCTCCGCGCGATGGCAGACTCGTGCGAGAAGATCTCGGTGGCGCGCAGGTTCAGGGTACATGCTGAAGGCGACCGGGTCTCCGCGGATGGGCGTGGCGTTGAGGTGCCTCTTGAGCAGGCTGAACAGCTCGTCCGTGGTCTTGACCAAAGCGCAGTACCCGTCCCAGAACCCGGCCGAGGCGCGCTCTTGTCCGTGGTCGAAGCAGCGCAGGGCTAGCTCGACCATCAGGACGCAGCCGGCGTAAGACGAGATCTCGTGCCCAGACTCGCTGCTTATGTTTGACAGGAATGGCATTTCCCGCGGTACTAGATCGGACCTCAGCAGGCCCGGGGACGGCAGGTTGATTCGGAAGTTCTGGGGGGGGGGGGGGGGCATTTTGTCAGCTGACCTGCCTTCAAGTGCGTGACGAATGGATGGATCAAATTCACCTTGACATCACCGAGATGGCATTGCCAGCCTGTACGTGTTTTGACGTAACTCTGCAATATATACAGCCCCCAAAATGTGCGTCGTCGCTCTTCCAAAAGGACGGGAATCGTCCGTAGGCGGCAAGCACAAGCGAGAGCCACTTTGCCTCCCATCACCGTCTTGGATCCCGCCGCCCTCGCCCCTCTGGTCCATCTGGGGCAGCTCCAGAAGCGTGCAAAGCATGGCGGCTCGTCCCAGCGTCAGCCAGCTCCTCTCCAGCTTTCGGTCCATGGCCTCGAAGCGGCCGATGAACAGCAGGGCCTGTAGGAAGTTGAGGTCGTTCAGGTAGCCGTCTCGTCCGCATTTCTCAGCGTAGTTGCGTGCCAGACTGTAGCATGTGGACTGTTTGCCGGGGCCCTTTGGAGAATGAGCGCAGCCGGCCAGGGCCACGGCGTAGACCAGAGCGGACACTGCAGGGCTGCTGCTGCTACTGCTGCCGCCGCCGCCGGCCGCGGACTCTGCCAAGAACCGATCTCTGTTCAAGAAGGGGAAGGAGAAGTAGATGGACTCGAAATAGTGATTGTGCAGCGCACTCAGCTCTGCGGGGGATATGTCTTCTTCTAAGTCGCTGTGAGGTAATGAGCGGGGTGAAAGGCAGGGGAGGAGGAGGTTGTCCAGGGGTTCGAGTGCCGAACGCGGTTGATTTGTCCAATCGAAGGCCATATCAGAGCCTGTGCCGTCGTTGACGGAAGTGAATAGGTCGATATCGAGTACGGATGAACCGTTACTGGCGATATCAACAACCGCACCCGTTCTCCTGGACCTGCCCAAGTCCATTGGGTCGTCAGTGGCCGGGTGTCCCGACGCCGACACCAATGAAGGATGCAGGGCCGTCGTCGGTGGTAGCTGATATTGCGAGTTTCGTCGCGACATGGAGCTCGAGCTTGTACCCGACGTGACGGGGTCCGGCATCGCTGACCAACGCGACGAAACGGTCGGCTCCATGGTTTCGAGCCCATCGCTGAGTGGCCCGTTTACGGGTGCGGGACCACGACGTCGCTCGTTCTCTTCAGCATGCCATCTCTGGTATTTCTCGGTCGGCGGTGCCGCGGCTGTCGAGAACGGCTGCCGATTTCATAGTTGTGGTTGCGGTGGGGGGTGGCTGCGGTGCACCTTATAACATTGCCGGAGCTTCTCGGTGGCATTTCTTTTCCTTTCCGGAGGGAGAGACAGACCGTTCGGAGACCGCCGTCTTCGGTTGCCAGAAACAGCACTCAGCAGTCGTTTCTGACCCGAGAAGAAAGAGTGTGAGGGGGAGTGTTGATTCAGGGGTCGGGGAAGACCACCCAAAAGAACCCGGCCTCTGATGGACGAAATCCCCTCGTCTCTCTTCCACCGGGGCCATCACCGAGCCTCAACGACCTGAACAAACCCCTGTGGAACACGAAAAGTCGAAACGTTGCCTTGCCTTGCCTCGGACGTCTACAAGTAAAGCCACACCACACACGCACCCAATCACACAAACACACACACACAGAGAAAAGAGGAATGAACAAGAGCCACGTTCGACAGGGCCAGGTTTCGATTCATCCGCATCGCGTGGCGTCACGTCGGAAGGAGAGTCTCCTCTCCCCCCCGAACCGACAACACATCCTATCCCCTACCCCTATCTTGTATGGCCCCGTCGATTCTCGACTACACTTCTCCTCCCCCAGAGAACCCACCGCCGGTGCCGTAACGTGGGCCTTTTGTGAGCATGACAACTCCAACAAGCGGGCCAAGGCAGTTTCAGTCCAACCCATCCCATATCAACACATCCAGGCCATCTATATACTGCGTAAGGCCCCCCTCTTCGAGGGCGGCGACGACAACTGGCAGCGCAAATGACAGGAACGAACAAAAAAAGAACACCCCGGTGTGTCCCCTCATCCCGCCCGTGTGTCTCTGTAAAGAAGAGGTAGACGAACGGGGGAGAGGACCGCAGGTGTCGGCTACATACGTCCATGGAGAGAGAAGAGAAGGAGAAATGCAAAAAAAGAACAACAGACTTTCCTCAACGACAGGAAATCGCGAAATCATCAGGGAAAGCAAAGGCCCCCCCGCCCACCGTCGAGCAAGAACCTCCCCGGCCGTTCCCTCATAACGCCCACACCATTTCCCCCTTTCTTTGGTTTTTTTTTTCTGTTTCCACACAATAGATTGGGGGTCCCCCCGCCCGAGTCCGTCCATCATTCCCTCACTCGCGTCCTTTGTTTTCGCTTTGTGCGTGGAACACTAAAAGTCGATTGGTGCCGTGAGTGGCGGTTCGTTGCCGGGGCAACCGAGCTTTGGTGGGGTTTCCATGATACCGGACCCGTCGTTAGGAAAGACAACAAACTCGTACCGCGCGGTCGATGCAGATTTCGTGAAAAGAAAAAGAAGAAAAAAAAAAAAAAGAACAAAAAAGGTCGTTACAAGTCGTCAAAAGTCGTGAGCTTCGTTCGTCCTGGAAGTCGGTGTGCTGGGTTTCAACACCCCCTCCCTTCCACTGTAGCCTTACCAAGCTTGGCAAAAACCCATGGGAACATGTATGCGGTCGTCTAGCAGACAACTTTCCCCTATGTGAAACGCATGCCCCTCCATCGGCTGGGCAACTCGCGCTCTTGCACGGCGATGTGGTTCTCTCCCTCGCAGCCAAACCCGCGGCTCTTAAAGTGATCGGGTCCGCACTGCATAGCCGTGCCGTGGTTCGAGTTGGGCCTCAGACCTAGCGGCTCGGCCGCCTTGCGAGCAGTGCGCGAGGTCCACGCGCGGGCGGTCTCGGCAAAGGGGCGGCGGGAGCCGTCGGAGTCGATGCTGCTGCGGGTGCTAGCCGCGTACAGCGGGTTCGGGACCTCGAGGTCGGTATCCATGAGGACGGGGCCGAGGGAGGACGATTGCGCGTGCTTGGCCGGCCTGTTGTTCGCTCCCGTCGGGTTGCTAAACGACCGGCGCACAAAGACGGTGCCGCCGCCGACGGCGCGAGGAGGCCGGGGAGGTGGCAGGTAGTTGGGCGGCGGCGGGGGAGGCATGGAATCCGACGAGGCAGGCTGCGCGTGGGACCGTCGCTTCTGCAGGTCAGGGGTGGACGGGTCCACGGACACGCGCGAGGTCGATTTGCGCAGCTTCTTGGCGGCAAGGGAGTACTCTCCCGGGGGGAATCCGCGCTTCCTGTTTCCGTCGCGGGACTCGGGCAGCGGGTCGACCTCTTCCGTCAGCGGAGGAGGCCATTGGCCCGAGACGCGCTCGGCGAACGACTTTTTATCCACAGGCGGCTTGATCGAATACATGGTGGTTGACGAGTTGAGCGAGGATGGGGGCGGCTGGCGGGTGGAGCGGATGGCATGCGCATCGAAGAAGCCGTCCTTCATCAGCTGCTGGTAGCTGGCCATGATCTCCTCTCTGCTGGGCATGCCCGCGACGCCGCCGCCGCCGCCGCCAGCCGGAGCCATGACCGGCGGCGCACCGGCACCGACACCGACTTCGTTGTCGCTGCCGCCTTCTTGGGCGAGAAGCTTGCTGTCGAGGCTGAGAGGACGCCTAGCCCCCTTGTCCCTGACGAAGCTCAGCTTCTCGCGCAGGCCGCCCCAGAAACCCTTCTTGCTGCCCTGGCTGCCGGAGGAGCTCGAGGGTCTCTTGACGTGGCCGTAGGTGACGGTCGGTTGGTGCAGGAGCGGCTGGGAGTGCTGATGCAGCGGCTGGTGGTACTGCTGGCGTTGAAGCCTCTCGGGCGAGAAGACTCCGGCGTCGGGGGCCTCGACGTAGAAGTCCATGTGGAAGCGGCGCGCAATCTCGGTGGAGTCTTCGGGGCCGAGGAAATCAATGGGCGGCGCGGCCGAGGTACGGTCGTTCATGGACCCCTCGACGAAGCGGGAGTTGGCGCGCTGTATCGAGTTGGCGCGCTTCGCTGAGGGCCGCTGGGCTTTGTAAGCCGTTGACATGTTTGGCGACGGGCCCGTGATCGGGTGGGAGGTCAGCGGACCCGGCGCTGACGAGCCACCCATACCCATTGTCGCTGACGTCGTGATGCTCTGCGTCGATGTTTTGAGAGAGGTTTACCTGCGTGGTGATGACGAGGATGGGTGGTGTTTGCGGCTTGTCAACTGAAAGGTTCAGCGACCGTTTCGCCCTCGCTTTCGAGTCGGTAGAGAGGTGCAATGTGTCGTCCGAGCTTGATGAATAAGAGGGCGAGAGAGAAGGAGGAGGTTGCGACGCCGATGTGCTGCTGCTGCTGCTGCTGTTACGGCCGAGAAAGGTGTTTGTTTACTTTCCAGCGTTACACATGCCACATGCTCATGTACACGCTTGTTGTGGTCTCTCTGTCGTCGCGGTCTTGTTCCCTTGCACGGCTGCTGCAGCAGATATTGGAAAAGGATGTAGTTATAATGAAATAAATACCTACGGCGATGAGAGGAGGGAAAGGAAGACTGTAGAGTGAGTGGGGTGAGAAGGAGGGGATAGACGGGGATGTGCGGAGGTATTGAGAGGGAGCAGTCGGACGGAATGTATGTGTGTGTAAGGTGAGGTGCGTGGTGGCAGCCGTCGCGTGGTTGGGCGTGTTGATCTTGTATGACTACGGAGTAGAGGGATTGGAAGGGCAACGATCAAGACCGGGTGTGTTGACAGGGGCCGGGCGCGCATGTCGAGTCCCCGCTATTGACAGCCAGCCAGCTACGCAGTACAACGGGTAATGTTTTTCTATTGCCTCCCTCTCCTCCCCCTTGCTGTTGTCCAGTAGCCTGTTATTGCTGTCTCACTACTCTTGTAACTAGCCTGTTTACCTACTTGCTTGCCTGCAAGCTTTGCTCGCTCCCCCGGATCACAGGGACAAACCGGGGAAATGGCCCTTTGTTGCTCGTTGCGTTGCTCGGGCAAACAAAACAGGTCCGGCCGCCCACATTTGTTCGTCCCTTGGACGCGACCCTCTCACGCTCCACTTGGCGTATTGCCCTCACCCGCCGTTCTCACCTTAAAAAAACCCGTCTTGAGCTTTGGCCATGTGGCCCCTTGCACATTTTGCTACACTGACTAACACACACACACACTATCTCTCTCTCTCTTTTCTCTCACAGTCACTCTCACAGTCACTCTCACTATCGGCGCTCTCATTTCACTCATCGTCACTCACCACGCTGCTTGTTCACGCGACAATCCTCGCCAGCAATTCACACAGATGGTACTCAACTGTTGAAACCTTTTCCATTTTCCTATGCAAAATAGAAATGAAAATGAAGAAAAAAAAAAGAAAAAAAAAGTACCCAAAATGTTATTACCCCGGCCCTCAAGGCCCAATGGGCAAAAAGAAAAAGAAAAAGAAACCGCCCCCCCTCCCAAACCACTGCCATCGTACGCGATATCCGTATACCCAAGAACACGCATAACAGCACACGACAACCGGGCAACCTCAAGACACATCTGTTATGCCCATCTTCTCACACCACCACCATTGATCGGGTTTCAACCCCCGATTTGAATCAAGCCGAGGGAGGGCCCATCAGCCCAAGGCCTTTTTGCTGAGAATGAAACAGGATAGCAAGGAAAATGTTCTGATCGCTCGTGGCTAGACAAACAGCCGTCATGATCATAGAGAGTGTTGTTGAGAGGTTGTTGCGCGTAGTAGTAAGCATGACATAGGAAAAGCGGCCAAAGCACGCCGCGAATGGCTCCCCCCAGTGGTTTATACAGTTTGATGAATTGCTGCCCCCCCCCCCCCGCCCGCGCCCATCCAAACACACCTGGATGCCTGTCCCAACCAAGAACGCCCTGATGCCGGATATATCCATTCCTACAGACACAAGAAAAGCTGCCGAAACGCCGTTGAAGCACACACGTACCGTACCGCACGTCCCCCCGCCTGGCTCAAGGCACAAACGAGTTGTTTTGCCTGAGCTTTTGCGACCCATCGGCACGCTTGTATTGCATCTCGGTCGGATGGTAGGGGTTGTAGGTGCTGTGGTGAGGCTCCTGCGGGCGTTGTCTGTCGTACAGGGAACGCGTGTCCTCAGAGAAGGTCTCCCCGTACCCACGCTTGGCGCCGGCACGAGCAATCTCGGGCACCGGGTTGTACATCGAGGGAGGTGCGGCCTCGATGTAATCCGTGCGGCCGGCCAAATGGGAAGGTCCCGTGAGCCTCTCGATAGAAGGAAGCATAGGTGGCAGCTTGGTGCCCATCTGAGGGGGAGCGTCCGACACGGGAGCCAACTGTCTGGGAGGCAGTGAATCTCTCCTGTACTCGGACTCGCGTCTGGTCATGTCCATGTCTTTGGCGCCGGGCGCCGAGCCGTAGACGGAGGGAGACGGCGGCACCATCATGGCGGAAGGGCGTCTGTCGTACACATCACGGGGCGTCGGCGGCGGGTTGCTCGTGGCGTATTGAGAGCTGGGCCGGCTGTAGCCGTACGTGGAGGTGGAGTGGTACGGCGACGGCTGGTTGGACTGGTAGGAAGTGGCCGTGGGCGAAATGGGCAGTGGCTGCGCCGAAGGATGAGGGTACTGGTGAGGGGGGTAGGGCGCGCTGGACGACGTGTCGGACCCGAATCGCAGGTGAACATTCGTCGACGGCGGTGCCGGGCCGTATGCCATGGGCGGCGGTGGAGGCGGCGGCGGCGGCGCCTGGAACGACGACTCGACGGCGGAAGGCCTCCGTTCGGGGGCAGGCGGGTATGCGGCGCGGTGTTCGCTGCTGTTGCTCGTCGATCGAGCTCGGAATTGGTCGGCGTTGCTGCGGATCTCGGGCGTCTGCGTTCTCCTGCTATTCCTGTACTCGTTCTCCGGGTTGTTCTCGAAATCGTTTCCGGCCGGCTTGCCGTCACGTCTCCTCATACGTACGTCGCGGCGGATTCTCACACGGCATCCCTGCTCCGAGATGGTCTTGCTTAGGCTCGTGCTCTCCGTGAGGCCAGGGAACTTCTTGGCGCTGAAAACGTTGAAAGGAACCGACTTGACTGCCAGTCTGTACATGAAGGCCGGGTTGAGGGCCTCGTCGGCGGCATCACCGTCCGGGTCGCGATCCTCCTCCTGCTTGATGTCCTCGTAAAGGTGGAAGGCCAGGACGTAGCGTCCCTCGTGGCGAACTGACAAGTCGGGGAAGAGGAAGTAGCCGGCCTCGCTAGGTCGGTCGAGATAGGCCATTCCGGAGACGGGCATGCCGGTCAAGACGGGAGCCGAGGTGGCGGCCGGGGTGTTGACGCGTCCATGGGCCATGGGGCGAGCAGGGCAGAGCTCGGCGTAGAGGAAGAAGTTTGCCCTGTAAATGAAGGTGACATCGCGGGCTTCCTCTCTGGTAGGGCCCTCGTAAACGTGCAGCTGCACGACGGGAGGGGGGTCGACAGGACGACGGTCAGCGGCAGCTGTGTATCATGAAATGTCAGAAGGCGGTTCAGACAAGACAGCAGAGACATTGAGATGTATATCTTACACTTTTGGCCGGAACCACAAGCACGCGCACGCTCAGGCTGTTGCAAGACCTTCAGCTCGTAGAACATTCTCTTGCCATTCCTCGTCGGCCTTTCGGTGAAGGTCTCGGACTCTCCGATGGTGTCCACCGGGGGACGGTGCTCGACTATGGGCGTCATTGTGAATGGTGAATGATAGGGTTGGTTGTAGGGTTATCGGGTGGTGTTGTTGGTGGTAATCGATGCGGATCTACCTCGCAAGATCGGATTGAGGTCGATCGACAGCCGTGCACCAGTCTGGTCGAGCGTTAGACACCGAGTGGCCGGTCCAGTGGCTCATGCGTGATGCAGGCCAAAACGACGCCTGCGCTCATTCGTTTCCCCCTCCCCTCCCCCTCCCCCTCCTGGATTCAGGGAGAATCCGGCAGGTAGAATGCTGGCCCCAACAGAGCGGAACGTAGGGCGCGAGGCTGTCTCCACCAGTAGTGACCGACTTACCAAACACGCAAAAGCAGAATGAATTCAACGGTGGCCGTCCTTGGAAATAGCAAGCCCTTTCGCTTCGTACCGGGTCGAGAGTCGGGGGGCTGTAGAGAGCCGGGGCGGGGAGAGGGCGATGTCGACAACGGCGACTGCGACTGTTGAGGTTGTCGAAGTATCGCGGACGACTTAGTGCGGTTGGTGAACAGAAGGAAGGGGAAGAGAGCGGCGGGTGGGAATGGGGGTTTGATGAAGGAGAGCGATGTGAGAAGAGTGGGACAGGGTGGATAGAAAAGAGTGGGAAGCGAAGGGACGCAATTGGCTTTGGAGGCGTCAGAGGTTCTGATGGCTGGGAACTTGGCTGGACGGGGGGGGGGGGGTGGAGGGAGGGTATGTAAGAATACACCACCTAACACACACTTACCTGTCTACTACATACCTACTGTAGTAGTACTAGTAGACCTGGCACGAGGTGGACCAGACAGTGTGTCACACGGAGGTAGACTTGCTTGGGGGAGGGGGGGGGGGGGGTGCCCAGTAGCACAAACAGGGGACTAAATAGCAGGCAGGGCGGCCTACGACTTTGAACTGGGGGGATTTTGGCGCTGCCAAGGGGGGCGGACGACGGTGGAGAAGGGAGCAAAGAACTGGAAGACACACCCCCGGGTGCACATGTCGTCCCGTAAGTTGGCACTGGGTGTTGGTGTGGGTCTGGGTGGGAGAGGGACCCAACGCCTTGGACTGGGGCCCCAGTTGACTCGGCGATAACTGGTACCAACTAGGTATGTATGCTTGCTGTGTTTGGGTAGGTAGGTGGTGTGGTGTAGTGTACGGAGTAGGTAGGAGGAGTAGGGATAAGGCGACAAAAGGTGGCCGCTCCGAGACCAAACTCAGAACAGCCCGTACCGTACCCGCCATCTACCCAGGTAAGTAAGGTACCTAATGTAGTAGTAAGGTTAGGTAGGGTAGGGTAGGGTAGGTAGGGCACCTGGGTTACGGATACTACCTCGGTATGGTGCTCAGTCCTCCAGTCCCTCTTCATTGAAGGCACACTGGGACCATGCGTATCCGTAATTAGCACGACACCCCCCTTTTCCTCCGGTCCTGTCCCGGGTTCACGAGAGCTTGATTCATTC